TTTTCCATAGTTTATGGGCAGCCACTCACTCTTTTTCTCTCTCTCTTATTCACCCATATATGCACACACCTAAATACAATTATTGAAAATATTTATGCATAGGGATTTTTTTCCTGAAATTGTTTTACTATAAACCCCACAACACTGTTATTCTATTGGCAAGCTTTTCTGCATTATATGAAACACATTCAATGACCTGTATACATGGGACAGGCCATGTATATGACACAAAGAGAGAGAGAGAGAGAGAGACGTTTTTCACTTGCACATGTGTTCCAGTACAGAATATCTGGGGAAAGCACCACTGAATTCAAAGGCATGCAAAGGCAGTGACTTGGGGAGCTGCAGTAAAATACATCGAAGGAAGTTGGAGGAAAAGAACATACAACTACAAACACAATCAAGCTTACCAAAAAATGTGACAGCAAATCCTTCCAGTACACAAGCCCAGTATCCCATATAAAAATAACCTTTTAGATTTGTTAGAAAGCTGATGGTGCCACCAGTCAGTGAGACCAGGAAATCAGCCACAGACAAATTGACTACAACATAATTGACAGGTTGTCTCAATTGCTTGAACTTAAAAGTTACCAGGATTACAGCCAGGTTCTCAGCAAGCGACAGGGAGGTCACCACCAACATTACTGCTGCCAGAAGCCTGAAGTGCCAGGGCTGGATGGAGTCCAAGGGACGACGGAAGGGATCCCAGCTGGCAGGACCAGAGGAACTGGGCAAGAGCGACTCATTTTCAAATGCTCTAAATGCATCCATTTTTTCTCCCAGTAGCAAAAATAATATTATATTATAATGTATTATATGTAAATAATATTCAGGGTTAAAAGGAGAAGTTTGCTGTGTCCAACAGAAGTGTGAGCAAACTCTCCCTGCTTCTGCTTTCCAGCAATAGTCCAGGAAAAAAAGTTTTCGTTGGAAGAAAGTTTAGTGCTGCAGAGTGAATGTGGGAACTGGTATTAGCAAGAATATTTCTTAGAGTAACTTCTGCCCCTCTTTGCCCATCGTCTCCTCTCCTGCCTCCTCTCACTGCGGCTGTGCCTTTATCTGTGGTAGAACCCAGCTGTGGAAGCTGCAGGTTTCCTCCTCCTGCAGGACCAGCAGTGCTGAAATACCCTCAGCTCAGCTCTGCTCCGACCCGTGGGGGAAACGCAGTGTTTGCTTGGCAGCCTCTCACACCTTCAGCACTGTAAAAACGCAGCTTTTTTTTGGTCGGTACGAGGGTGGAGCGATCTCCCCACACCCAGCGACGGAGGGAGGCAAGGGGGAGGCTCCCGCTTGAATGGTTTTCCTGAGAGAGGGCAGCCCTGGAGAGATGAACGCTGCAAACCACAGTACAGAACCCTGCCCGCAGCTCAGGCTGGCTTAGAGCTCCCAACTGAGTTTTCTCTGTTATTCTGTGGAATTTCAGCTTCTATCAAGACCTTACTGACGTCTTTCCTGACGAAGGCATAAGGATTATAATTGCAGTTTTGGTACTAAAATCAAAAAGAAGCACAGCAACACTTTTAAAGATAGAGTTGGTAACTATGTTAAAATAAATACATCGTGACAACTGACATCAGGAAAATTAAGTCATATATTTCTGATAAAAATGACTGTATATATCTGAACTCTAACATAATCACCAGCAGTCCAGGTTACTTGTATCCAGTTCCCAAGATAGGTAGCACTCTCATAGTGCTAGTCCCTGCACCCTCATGAGGCATAACACTGTGACAGATATTCCACTATAATTGATAATGACATTCCAATTGTTTATCTCTAAAAGGGATGTAAGAACCTATTTTACTACAGGAGTTTTAAAAACATATATTAAGGCCACATTTTGTTCTGCTTTCATAAGGGAGAAGCTGAAGAGAATGCACAAGCATTTTTTTTAAAATACAAAATAAGCAGAAATTATGGTGGTTTATGCCCAGAGACTATTACAGATTACATTGCAAATCCAGAAACTATAACTCTCAGATCATATAAACAAATATGCTTTTGCTGAGTCCAATTAATCATTGAGACACAAAAGGGCTGAGGCTGGCAGGGAACTCAGGAGAGCTCCAGTCCAGGCCCTTGCACAGTGCAGGGGCAGCCACAGCAGGTTCTCTGGAATCGTTTCCAGTCAAGTTTTGAATGGATGGCAACTTCACAACCTCCCAGGACAACCCATTTTTTGTGTGCTGGACATTTGCTGTAAAGGTTATTCTTATTTTATTTTTTTTTTAAGTTATGAGAGTCATAAACCTAGTTAATTGGGAGCTACATTTAACTTTTCTAAGCCTGGGAAGGTTCAAGGAAAGCACCTGCAGGACCTACTGACTTTGCTCGAGAATCCTGTTACAGGACTACTGGAATTAATCTCATTTACCCACTCTCAATATTTCTCTCATTTACTCTCTCTCCATAAAGGCCCACACTCTTCTAGAACCTGTTGAAACTTCAGTGTAGGGGATGAGTTTTTCTATTCAATGAAACTTCAGTAAATTACACAAATATTCTCCTCCAGCTGCCTGACTGAGCCAAAACCTCTCAGAGCACTAAAACTGAACGGGAGCAGAGGAGTCAGTTCCTACTTCTGGGCATTATAAGGATGTTGTAAAGAACTTTCATAGAGCCCATTCAGAAGTTTTGATGGGACAATACTTTGTCTAAAGAACAGCCTGAACATCCAAGATCCAATGCAAAAAATTATCAGTAAAGTCAGCTTTTCTAGTTGCTCAGGGTGTATCATCAAAGCATTTTTTTCTAGGATTCAGTTTGTGTGAGTGCCTGTACAAAAAGGACTCAGATGCTGGCACCTGGTTTTCAAAACTGATTTCATACGTTTCTTTTTTGGTTTGTTTTTCAGCTGCAGCTTTATTTTCTCACAGTTACTGAAAACTAGCAATTCAACATTTGAAGTCTGTTCTCAGAAAACACTGAATGATTACAATGGAAAAATCTTGTCCTGCCCTTTCAAGTGACTTGGAGGAATTATTTTGCCCTCTTGCTCATTAAAAGAACGGGAGTGGAGATTTCCTTTTGCCCAAAGGTAAAAGCTGTGTACAAAAGAGGCGTTCTACACTTCAAAAGATACCAGCACAGCTGCAGGAATTTCAGTAACCAGAAATATATAACAAAGCTGGTATCTGAACAAAACATGTTCTATTAAGTATGAATAAGAAACTAATGCCAATTACAGCAAAAAAACCCAAAAGCATACTGAGCACCAGAAAAGGAAACAATTTGTTTGCAGACTGTATTTACTCAAGGTATGTTAACAATGTCTTGCAGTTTGACACCTCATCTGAGCAGGTAAGACTCTGTTTATTTTATGATAACACAGTTCTTTCCAAAGCCCAGTTAAACTCAGTTCCTTGAGGACTGCACAAAAGCAGTTCAGTAAAAGGCAATGCTTTCATACTGTTACTGATTCTGGGTGAAGTTATTTTGCTGTTACTATGAATGGTTTTCCACGGGTTTTTGAGTTTTTCACCCACTTGCTTTCACATGATACTAATATGTTAACACAGCAGTAAAAGAAATCGTTTTAACAACAAGCAAACAGGTCTACAGGTATTGAAGAGACAGTGTCACTTTAATGAGCAAAAAACCTCTTCAGTGGTTTGTTTTCCCTCAGAATTTGTATGTTCCCCAAAAGCTCAGTGTGAATTGTTATCCAGTATATCCACTGGATGGTACGACTTAGAAAAAAAACCCAGTTCACATGATATTTCTTATTTAAGAGGATTTTTCTATTATGAAACCCTCAATCAGAGAAAAGAGGACTTAATCATGCAAGAAATCCTACTGTCTTGAAGATGATCATGGATATGAGAATCTTCGGTCTTAAAAACCATTATTTTAAGAAGTTTGTTATTAGACATATCAAACACATTTTTTTTGTACTGCAATCCCTGAAGACAATATATGGCATTTGCCCTAAACTTCGCATTAGACTGAGACCAAATCTTTGAAGAAACTAAGGTCAGAATACAATCTGCAGCTTTTGATTTGTCATTGTATTTATGTTTAGTGTAACTATGATAATGAAATACTGTAACTATGACTATGAAATTGGCATCTTGTCCGTGACTAGTTTCATCGGGGCCTAAAAGTCCGAATTCAAGTGGACTCACCCTCATCTGTAGAGTAAGCGGTTTTCAAGAGTGATTGTAGGCAGAAGTGTTTCGAGACCTTTCTTTCTCCACCCCCACTGTCAGACGGTGCAGGATGCAGGAGATGTTTGTCCATCACAGCCCGAACAGCGGCTGTGCCATGGGAGAGCCCAACGTGTGGATCGAGCCACCGGGGCTGGGCTGGGGCAGCACACATGGGGACACTGGCATTGCCAGAGGGGCCTGACACAGGGACACTGGCATTGCCAGAGAGGGGCTGGGGCCATGTGCCAGGGACACCTCCCAGCCCTGGGAGCACAGGCACAGGGGGGGCTATAGGGAGCCTGCAGGGAGCTGTAGATGGTTTTTTAGGGGGGCTATAGGGGCTCATCAGGGCACACACACCTGCTTCTGAACTGTGGGGTGCAGTCACCTGGACAACTGGCCTCTGGATGGAGCAGATGTACCCAGGGCACAACACCAGAAAGGTATTTAGGGACAGTCTTGGTTGGGAATGATGAGTTGTGGAGAGTAGACTGGTACTAACACGAGCACCTACTCCAAAAATTAATCTGTCCCCATCCTTGGTGCAGCAAGGATCAGTCCTTTCTGTGCCCTTGGGAAAACTCAAACTGGCTCTGCACAGAACAATTAACCTACAGCAGCAAGGGGAAGCCTCTGCACACAAAGACAGCAGAGCAAAAATTAACAGACAAACCCCTCTGTGCATTGGGAATCCATTCTGTCAGCAACAATCACATAACAGAATTTTTTATTCAAGTAATACAAAACTGTGTGACATAACCCTGAAGCATCACCAAGCTTGGGTCCCACAGCCCAAAAATAACTGCTTATTACCTTACCTGTTTGAAGATAACATATGCCCCAGTGTCAGGAGAATGTGCAAGCAAACATTCAAGGTGTGCATTAAACTAAGCATTAACTATTTATATAATATTCCTGCCCAGAGGAAAATCATGGAAACAAAAACAAGCTACATTTTGCAATTAGGCACAATAATTCAGAAAAATATATAAAAAAAACACATTAGCAAAGCCAAAAAATTCGTATTTATTTGAGGAGTTGGATTCGATGATCCTTGTGGGTCATTTCCAACTCGGAGTATTCTATGACTCTGTTTAAATGACAAAGTACTTCTCTGCAGGAGTTCCAAACAGATCCGTAGTTACACAGCAAGCAAAGCAGCTTTCATCCAGAGCCACAAGCTTCCTGAGACTTTTGAACTTTGAGCAAAGGCTCACCACTGCATACCTTCATCTGGGTTTTAAGCCATTACTAAGCAGCAGAGACAAACAAACATGACACTCTGTTCTCTTCCCTTCCTGAGCTTGTCTGACTTGCTTGAAAGTAGCCATATGGGTCAACAAACACAGGAAAAGTCCATATGAGTAAGTTCACTTTGTCCCCAAATACACTATGTTTAGATATAACTCACTGCAGCCACACATATCACACTAATAAAAACAAATCACAAATGCAGGCAGCAGTTTCTATCAGTGTGTCATTACAGAGTGTCCCTGAGAAGGGGTGGACAGCACAGGAGGCAGAGCAAGGGGAGGACTGAGGTGCAGGTGAGCCCATGGAGATGGGGAGTGGGGCTCAGCTGAGACAGTGCATCAACAGGAGAGATGGGGAAGCAGGAGGAGGGATAACTCACACAACACTAAGCTACCAAAAGCTTGTGTTGTGCAGAAGGTTAACTCAGAGCCACAACATTCATAGATTCTTGGCCTTTGCAATAAACACTGGGCATGAGGAACTGATAGGAATATTTTTCTCCTCTGCACTTAAGATTTAATGTACAATTAGGAAAAATATACCCCCCCATTGCATTTCATGCCTTTAACACCACCACATCTCGAATGCTCAGTACTAATTAGTTTTCAAACACAAAAAAGTGGTTCTTAATTTTATGCTTATTTCCAATGCAGGCAATTAAAATTACCACAAAATGCTCTAAGTGAACCACATCATAATGCTGAGAGTACATTTAGTGTCATAAATAATTTTAAAGAAAGTCTTCACTTCGGGGTTCACAGCAATGTTTCCTTACAAGCTGCAATGACTAATCGACATCAGAGTTTTTGAAAATGAGTTATGCCTGCACTGACTGACAAAATCCTGTTTTCTGATGAAGTACACCTGAGCCAGATGTTTATTTTACTGTGTTAAAATTTCTTTCTGAAACAACTGTAATTGAACCCTTACCTCACTCAGGCTCTCCCTCCCAGGGAGCAGACACACTTCTGACACCCACCCGTGCAGCCTTTGCAGGGTCTGCGCCCCGTGCTGCAGGGAACAGACCATCAGCCCTACATGATACTGGGGCTAGGTTTTGGCCTTTTTACAGTACCATCATAATTTTCTAAAATGTATTTTTTTACATAAAAGCTTTGTTCAGTGTTAAATGGGAAGTGCCACAAAGTGGATGAGGAGGAGCAGCTGCTCCTGAAAGAAGGAAGGAACCAGAAGGCAGCAAAAATATTTCACAGTTTTCAAACAGCTCAATACAACCAGGAGACTTCTCCCCCTTACCTACTCAGTTGAGGCATTATTAGGGAAGAACCTGGAAAAAATCTCAGAAAGGTGAAACATATGAAGCATGAGAAATGTCAGCCCTGTCACAGTCTCCTGCCAGCAATGTCTGGCTCTGTGCATGGAACAGTTGCCCGAGGCGAGCACGAGGCATCACCCGCTCCCTGACACTGCCCTGAGAAACTTGTGCCTGCTCTTCAAATAAAAAGTCAGGGGTAGCTGGTGTGATGCCAGCCCTGCCACTGCTGTGTATCCTGATGCTACCACATGTGGCAGGTTTCATCACACACACCTCAGGTGTTGCTCGGGCTCTTCCTTATGACTTTCACATTTTATGTACAGTGTATTCCTCCTGACTGCTCCTGAATAAACACACCTTTTACTTCTTGCTCCAGTTAACCCACCTCTTTAGTGATAGTGGGACTGCAAGTGATCACTGGAACTTCAAAGGACATCACTCATTTTGGATTTTCCCTGGTTAAGGGCATGCAGATAATTTTTCCCTTCAGCCACCTTCCTCTGCCTTCACTTGTGTTTGCTGGTAGGACCCTGAAGCACCAAACCTTTTTACACCAAGACACTTCAGTTTAACTGCTGACAACTCTTTAAAGACCTGTCCCCAGGCCTTTTTCACTTATTACTCACCTTTTGTAAATCTACAGCTTTGTCTTTTTCTGCAACGTTTATATGCAGTGACCTGTACTGGGAGATTTTCAGAGGGAGATTTTCAAAGGCACTACGGGCAGTTAGACACATGGGTCTCAGTGAAAGTCAGTGCCAGCTGTGTCTGTCCCTAAAGCCTCTATCCAGAGTTTTTTAAGTGTTTGTCGAGCTCCCACAGGATAGAAAGCTTTAGAAGCTAAAGCCTTTTTTACTACCTCACATTTTGCTATATTCCCACCAATGACCACTCTCTGGAAGAAAGAGCTATCACAGGAACTTGAACTCAGAGAACAACACCAAGAATATAGCCAAGAGGTGAGAAAGCTAGTTCCCTTGTTAAAGCATTTCAGTTAAACTCACCCAGTGCTTGTCTTCATGCCAGTTTTAAAGTTCCTGTGTGGCAGTGGCTGGGTGCAGAGTTCTAAAGGTCTCAGACTGACAGTCCTGGACATGTACATCAGGCAGCTCCTGGGGTCCATGCACACACCAATTTTACATGCCAGTTTCAGTCTTATACTGGCTTACATCCATTATTTTGAATTATATCCTCCTGATATTTATTAAAGATCTGGGGATGCTGATTTGACACAGCACAGAATATGATGCAACTCACACGTGACTATTTCTTACTCTTTGAGAGCCATGTCACTCATTCCTAGCAAGGTTTTGATTCATATTTTCATGTGTGATTTTACATCCTCTCTGAGCTGTATTATAAGACACATTTAACTGATGTTGCACTAAAAACTGAGGACTCTGTTTCCAGGATTGCACTGGTGCCAGTGCAGACATCTGCCTGGGGATGCAGCACTCATAAGGACGCTGGATGAAACCCACCTGAAATTCCACCATGTATCTGCTTCCCTTCTCCCTTGCAGTAATCCCCCAAGGGCTGTAAAGTCAGCATTTCTGAGGAGATGCTGTGATCTCTCTTAAGAGATAAACATTTTACCTGTTCAGAGGCATTTACAATGACTGCTGTAAAGAGAAATTCCAAACCTACATCTGGCTGCAGTGATATGTACAAAACACACTGGGTTTTCAAAATTACATGTGTTATATTTTGCCAAGTTATGCTGCTAATTTCTAGCCCCAAAATGCATTACTTTTAGCTCAGCTTTTGAGAATTAATGTTTCTTACTTGGATCAGCTGGCAAAGGAAAAATACCCTGAAAGCCAACTAAATATAACTGCAATGTTAACACCGAAATTCAGCATCAACAGAAAAAAAAGCAGCCAAGATTTTTGCTTCAGAGCAACAGCTGAATCTACCTGGGCCCAAACCAACTCCTGCACGGCCCGGGCAGCTGCTGAAAAGTCTTGATTGCACACTGCTGACATGAAGACCTGCATGTGTTGTATCATTTTGCTGGCAGAATTTGTCAGTTCATTGCTTAAACACCTCATCCAACCTCTGATTAAACTGATGGAATTTAACAGAATCATAAGAACTGAGTCATTACTGAGAGTTAATTGCAAATATGGACTTCAAGAGTTGACCCTGACTTGATCCTTCATGACTTAATATGTGGTTCTGCTCTAAATAGTAATACTGGATATTATTAAGAGTATTCAAGAGTCTACATGAAACATTTCTATATCTTCCTGCCCACTTTGAAAAAAAAAATCAGTCCGAAAGGTAAAAAATCAAGGTGGCTTTTCTGTTTTTCCTGCCCAACAGTAAATACTTAATTGCAATTTCTTTGCAAATGGTTTCCCCAACTAGGGCTGGTATGAACACAAGTTCCGCTTCTGCCAACTGAATACACTTTTGGATACTCTCATGTACATGGAAATATTTCCAGAGCACCTCCTTTTGAGATGCACCAGAAGTTATTATCCACATATTTTGTTTACTCCAGTGCCAATGGAGCTCATAATTGGAGTTTTCTGATGGCATAGCATCTTTTAGGTACTCTCTTGTCCATCTGAATCAGGTTTTACCTAATAAGTTTTATTTTTGCAGTTATATTGAAATGGAAAGAAAGTTTATTGTTGAGAACTTATATGAAGAAAGTGAAATGTTCTGAATTACTACTTTATGAGAGTTTTAGGTCCTATCAAAACCAGACCATATGTCATCTGTATAGCATACACAGAACTCCATGAAAAAGATCACTCCTCAATTCAGTGACTCTCTTTTTCCCAGCACAAATGTCTCCCCAGATATATGTTCCTCTATGCATCAGATTGTTCAAGGTTAATTTTTTTAAACAACAGTATTTCTTGAATGTCTTGCAGCCCATAAAATGAAGGCTAATACTGATCCAAATGCCATTAAATCCTTTCACCAAAACCGAGTCCCTTAAAGTAAGGGCTTTAGCAGCAAGAAGGGGATGAAGGGAATTGGTAAGAATACACTGAAGGACCACTGCCACCACCTTTTTCTCTTCCTGTGGGAATGTTGCACTTGCAACAATCACTCCTGGCCCAGCACATGGTTGGAAGGACCTGGAGAGGGACAGCCAGGGCCTCATCAGACCTGGAGAGCCAGGCACTGGTAAACTGGGAATGGAAGTCTGCTAAGCAGACCTTCAGGTTCAAACCAGCAATGATTGCAAGACAAGAAAAGAATGAGCACTGAGAGAGAAGATGAGGCTTTCTCCTGCAAGGATGCAGGGTGGGCTGGCAGAGAATCAGCCATAGTAAAGGCAGTGCACAAAGATAACTGCCCTAGTCTTGTTGGTTTCTCTGTCAGAAGTATTGCAACCCAGCACATAATTTTCATATATAACCATGGGGAGATGCAAAAAGCACACTCAGGACAGTCAGGGTAAGACTGAGATCCAGCACAAAGTAAGCTCCTTAACTCGTGGAAAAAATTAACCACATTATGCAACTTGATAAATGACTTGCAAGCAGATCTCTGATCTGATTTAATATTAAGACAGTTATGTGACTTCTGGCTCAGAACTGGCCTGGGCAGATGAGCAGGATTGCAGATAGCACGGGTTAGTCCCCTCTGTCCTGCTGGATGTGCTCACACTCAGCGAGATGTTGCATTTTCTGCAGTACCAAGCATGTGCTGAGCATGTCACCTTCCACCTGACACTACTCTGTGCATAAATTAGGATCTAAGTATTTTAAGAGAAATAATATCTCTATTATAAAAAAATCATCTTCAAAATGCATGATGTACATGCCTTCCTCACATGTCTTATGTCTTATTTGCCATTCTAATTACCTTTCCTATTCAAGTAGACATTTTCTAAATGTTTTTGTTCGGGAAGAAACAACCATAAAATCTTTCCATAATCTTTTCTCCCTTTTAGAAGGTCCTTTCGAACCTTCCTTTTCATAAGTTCTTATAACTACTGCTTCTTAGTCCTTTCCATATCTTCTTAAACTACTGCTTCTTAGTCTTTTAACCCCTGTTCCAGTGACAGGGTTTTTTTACCACTTTTTCCTTCCAAATGTCAGTTCATATAGTTTTTCTATATCATCAACAATTAAAGAGTCCTTATGTTCTGCATAAGTGGTTACAAGATACATTTAATTTTTTCAATTCAGTTTGTCTGAGCTAAAATTAATGTAAAACTATTCAGAATTACTTTAATTGGTATAAATAAATCCAAACTTTTATCTTTATGAAAATAAGGGGCAGTGGGGAGGGAGAATGACCCCAGAAAACCTGAATACATAGTATGGAATCAGGTGAAGCAACAGTACAGAAGTAAGGATTACTGTCATAATTCATTTGGTAAATTGGATGTCAAATAAGCAAAAATTAATGCCAGCAAGAAAAAAAATGAGGCATTGGTCATTTGGCTTGTGAGAGGATATAAAGGGCATATTAGATTATGTAAAAGTGAAGTTAAGCCTCATGATTTTACATACAGAGAATACACGGGAAAAAAAAGTTCCATTGCATGTTGATACAGTATCACAGGAGAAGTGTTTGTTAATATTGTATGTGTAAAAATCTTCCAGGGATAAAACTTCCTAGACATTTATTTCATTCAATAACACTTGCTGTGAAACACGGAGCATATCCTAAAACCTCTTCTGGAGCTGAGATGACTAAAGGATGCAGTCACACACCAAAAGTCCTCTCCAAAATAATTCAGTCTCTCACTAGTGCAAGAACTAACTTCCTAGTCAGGTTTCAGGAATATAAACAGGATGTATTTCATATTGATGACCTTAATGTTAGAAGATAATGTCTTGGATGGATCAGATTTCAGGAAGGAAAGCCTCTGCAAGTCGTTAATCTCATCTCACTGCTTAAGTATCTATAGATACTTAAGTATTTATAAAAACAACTTAAGTCATACAAACCAACAGGACTAGTTATACAGAATATTATTGTCTCCTGTTTTGTTGGAATTGCTTTATTGGAAGAGCTTAGACCTCTTAAATAACTACATATCAATTCCTGTCCCTAATACAGGTTTCATACCATGTCTTTTAAAGGTAGAGTTCTGTTTAAATGCAGCTTTTTAATTCTTTTAATTACTTTCATTTTTCTTTAATACAGGATAATTCCTCAATGAGTCATTCCAGTGTATTTTTAAACTACTTTATCTGACACAACTTTCTATTTTCCATTAGTACTACCAAGAAATCCTCCTATGCAAAACCCAGTTGAGCTTGTTCACTGCTGTCCTCAAGTGCAAAAGAAAGAGTAGCATTCCTTTGTCAATCCAATTAGCATGCACAAATTAAAAGTATTATTTAGGTCTGTCAATTGGTCATTGAAGAATGCATTACCTATAGAACTATTCCTGAATGTACTTCTGGATCACTGAAATGACAAAACTAAAAAAGTACAGTCTTGAGGCTTTTTTCTGGTGGAAGAACACTTGGTTATTATTCTAACAGAATTATAAATACTACCTAGTTCCTGACATGAAGGTTTCACTGTGTTTCATGCTGTACAGAGAGAACAAAAAGGCTCCAGGAGGTGCTTTTAAGTGAACATACATTGGGAGGGTTCAGTAGGGAGAAGGAAGCAGTACATTGAGCAGTGCTGAAGCTGAGGGGTCTGGAAGCACATCTGCCTCCTGCAGAGAAGCTTCGGTCCTGCCTTTCTTATTCAACTATACCTGGGGACCCTCTCCAGACACCAGCAGGGAAAATAACAAGATGGTGAAATCAAATTGCTGAGAGCAGACAAAAAAAACCAGGAAAGCAGAAGGAAAAGACAGAGATGGCAGTGTAGGAAGACACGAGAGACAGAACATAAACATGGCAAGACAGAGGAAGCAAGAAACATCAGGAGTGTCCATGTATGGACATTCCATGTAGCTTTTTATTGCTCCTGTTTCTCACTTTGTCACATTCTTTGAACAACCTGGTCTAGTGGAAGGTGTCCC